CACTCACTCACTCACTCACTCACTCACTCACTCACTCTCTCTCTCTCTCTCCCCCTCCCCCTCCCCCTCCCTCCCTCCCTCCCTCCCTCTCTCTCACTCTCTCTCACTCTGTCTCTCTCACTCTGTTGCACTCACACACACTCACACTCACACACACTCACACTCACTCACACTCACTCACTCACTCACTCACTCACTCACTCACTCACTCACTCACTCACTCACTCACTCACTCACTCACTCACTCACTCACTCACTCACTCTCTCTCTCTCTCTCTCTCTCTCTCTCTCTCTCTCTCTCTCTCTCTCTCTCTCTCTCTCTCTCTCTCTCTCTCTCTCTCTCTCTCTCTCTCTCTCTCTCTCTTCTCTTTCTCTCTCTTCTCTTTCTCTTTCTTTCTTTTTTGCACTTAGTTATTTACTACATAGAGAGATGATATTGAGTCTGTGCAAGAAGAATAAGCTATTACCATCTGGATAAAGCAAATCAAAGGACAAATATGGACATGGGGAAAATAGTGATAAAGTTTTAAAAGTTTGCAAAGAGGAGGCACAGTCTTGTCACCACTCATGGGTGTCTGTGTGTGCCCGGCCTGGGGTGTTGGCCACTTACATAAACCATTACCCGTGATTTTTCGTGATGTAACCAGATCCAACAGGTTAATGCTCACTTGTCCTCACCTGACTTTACAAAAAAAAATTGTCGCCAGTAAGTTCGGCAGAATAATGTATTATACATTAAAGTATATAATTATGTTAAATTTACTTAATATATATATGAAACTGACAGGTAAATAAGCATCATATATGATAGATGGGTTTAGAACTATTTTAATGTTTTGCTCTACCAGATATTCTTCTCATTTTAAATAAACATATTTTTAATGTGTATCCTTTTTAGACCTCCGCTTTTTTTTTCAATAACCAATTATTATATTGCAGGTGGTTGAGTATTGCTATCAGCAGACCAAAAACTATGATAAGCTGTCATTCCTGTACTTGATCACTGGAAACTTGGCTAAGTTGCGCCGCATGATGAAGATCAATGAAATTCGCAAAGATTATGAGGGCTGGTATGCCAATGCACTCTACTTGGGAGATGTCCCAGAACGCATACGGGTTCTGAAAGCATGTGGCAAAACATCTTTAGCTCTCCTGACAGCAGTCACACATGGCTATGCACAGGTAATGTCAGAAAGTCAGAGACAGATGAATGAATATCTGATTATATTGTTTTTAAGTAGTTTTGAATCTTAATTGCCTTTTTGTCATGGTTTATAGAGTTAAAAAAATAAGTTTAAAAAGTTTCTGTAATGTAACTATCTTTCCAAACAGGAAGCAGAGTCCCTGGCTGCCCATGTTGAGAATGGAGCTATTCCTGAACCTCTTCCAAGTGCTCAGCTGTTACAACCAGCACCACCTGTGCAGCCTATGGACACAGCTTGGCCACTCTTGACTGTTGCAAAGGTGAGATTTCTTCCAATGATGTCTCTCTTCTCTTGAAGAGGAGTTGAAGATTTTATCATTTACACTATCCCTATTAAATCATTTGAAAGCTGAAATAATTTTCTGTTGACAGGGCTTCTTTGATACTGCGGTTGCTGGAGGCAAAGCAGCTGGAGGAGCTGCAGCAGCTGCCATGGTTGTTGATGATGCTGGGGACATTGCTGGTGATGGATGGGGCGATGATGATGATGAGAATGTTGAAGATGCTGATTTGGCTGCAGATGGTAGGTTGAATGATACATGTGTATATGTACTTAATTTTTTGTTTGTTGTTAAAGCTAGATTTATATATGATTTAAATGTTCCCTTTCAGGTGGAGATGCTGAAGGAGGTGGATGGGAAGTGGATGATGACCTGGACCTACCACCAGAACTTGAGGGATCTGTTTCAGCTGGTGCTGGAGGATCTGGTGAGGATGGCTTCTTCATCCCACCACCCCGTGGACATCCACCAACCCATGGATGGACACAGCGAAGTCAGTTGGCAATTGATCATGTCTTGGCTGGAGCTTTTGAGTCAGCTACTAGATTGCTTCATGATCAGGTGAGAAAAGTTGTTTAAATACTGAATGGAATATCTGTGATAAATATTTGAAAATAAATTAATAAATGATAGAACAGAAAATGACGTTTGAGTTTCTGAAATAAGAATTTTCATTATTAAAGTATCATTGTAACAGTTCATATTTCACAGACATTACTGTCTAAGTACTAATTAATATCACTCTTTGAAAAGGTGGGAGTTGTGAACTTCGAACCATACCGTCAGCTGTTCCTCTCATCATATGCCCATTCCCGCACAAGCTACACTGGTGCTCCTGCTATGCCATCTCTCTTTGCATACCCAGCTCGTAATTGGCGAACTGCACAAAATAAGGATCAGTTACCTGCTTTGGGATTAAAGCTTTCAAATCTAATGGATAGACTTAAGGTAAGTTTGTGATTCTATTTAACCCTATGAAGATGGGGCCTGAATTTTGTGTAATTATAGTATTATGTAGCTAGGCCTAAAGTGTCTACAGCTGACCCACCCATTGCGAGTCAGAGAGTCATGTATATGCCATAGGCCATTACATTGAGATGGCTGTAACTGTAACCATCAAGGAAGGGTTAAGATGTTTTTTTGTTTTTTTTCCATTATTGCTGTGCAGACACTAATATCATACTTCTTTCTTGTAGGAAGCATCTCAGTTGACAACAGCAGCCAAATTTTCAGAGGCTCTGGATAAACTGCGCTGGATTTTACTTGCTGTTCCTCTCATTGTTGTGGATACAAAGCAAGAGGTCAGTGGTCACTAATCTCTCTTTTTTTATTATTATTTTTTTTTACTAGTGTTGTGCTATTCCAGGATGATGATACAATTACTAGTGTAAAAATGCATCAATTATGTATATCCATTCATTTTTATGTGAATTTTAAGTTTAACTTACTGGTGACCTGTTTATTTGTCCATTAAATTATAGAAAGTGTATATGGTCAGAAATATTTATCCTGTTTTTGTTTGGAAAGAAATGCTTAACCCAATGGAAGAATTTTGGGTTCACTTGGTGAATATGTTTTGGCGTATTTAACCCAATGACACCGGGAGTCCCATATCTGAGACACCCGAAAAAAATAAATACTCTGCGCGTTCCACCAGTGTAACGCTGTGTCGTGGTCGCGCTCCGACTTAGCCGCGGGCCACGGCCACGGGCGCGGGCGGTCAGACTTTTTTTTTTTTTTTTTTTTTTTTTTTTTTTTTTTTTTTTGCTACAAAATGTACTCGGAATGAGTGAATATGCATGATATTAATTTTAGTTGCAAGATTAAGCCTCAAGTAACCTGATTATGTACATTAGAGTCCATTTCAATAAATTATAGGTGTTACACTCTGTACAAGATGGAATGCAGTTTTATTAATAGATAAATTAAGGTTTTTCTCTAATTTTTGCAAATTATTCTTAGAAAATAAGACATTGCATGTTGTTGCTGCTACTCCCACAACTTCAGTACTTCCCTTTTGTGTGTGTAATTCAAGGCAAGCACACACTGGCAGAGGCAGTGTGACTAAAGAGTGCCCTTTATATAAAATAATAGCTAACCAGAGCATTGCACATCCTATTCTCCCTCATTGTCACATCTCCAGGGGATGTGACAGTGAGCATGAGGGTACCTTATATAATGCATCCAAGATTTTAGTTTGGAAAGGGTGAGGTTCAGTTCTGTGAAATAATTATGGAAATGATTGAAATACTGTCTTTCTTTACAGATTACAGAAGCACAGAATCTGCTAAGAGTGTGCAAGGAGTATGTGGTTGGTATCAGCATGGAGTTGTATCGTAAAGGTTTGGGTAAGAGTAGTGCAGAAGAACAACAGCGTTCCCTTGAATTGGCGGCCTACTTCACACATTGTGAACTACAACCTGGGCACCAGATTTTGACGCTGAGAACTGCAGTGAATTTGGCCTTTAAGATGAAGAATTATAAGATGGCCATGAGCTTTGGTCGTCGTCTGCTAAATCTTGGACCCAGACCAGAAGTGGCTCAGAACATAAGGAAGGTTGTGCAGGTATGTTATCGGCAGTATTATTGTGGCTTGGAGGTGGATGTTATAATATTGTTGATCATATTCTCTTACTGTCTCTCTCATGTGAGAATAGCTAGTTAATTCTAACTTTTTTTTTCTACTCTTTTCTTTTTACAGGCATGTGAGAAGAACCCAGTTGATGAGATGTCAATCCAGTATGATGAGCATAACCCATTCACTGTATGTGCTAGTTCTTATGTACCCATTTACCGTGGAAAGCCAGAAGTTCAGTGCCCATTGTGTGGTGCATCATATCTGCCAGAGCACAAGGGCATTACTTGCAAAATTTGTGATGTTGCACAAGTTGGCAAGGATTCCATTGGCCTTCGCATATCACCACTACAGTTCCGATAGACAATTACAGAACAAGTGTGAGGTTCTGGCTTGCTGGATCTAAGCTATTGTCAGCTATTGTATCATGTTGAAAGGACCAATTGTGTGGTGTTATGTACCCGTGAAAAGCAGTGTATTTTTTTTTTTTTTTCTTCTTTTTTTTCCCCCCAGTGAAAAAGCAGTGTACTTGTTATTTATAAAAGTTATATTATGTATCTTTTAGAAGTTTTAAGGAATTGGTTTGTTTTCATTTAATTAATATCCATAAGATAAGCCATATACCAGGTAATATATTGTCAGTTTTAATAAAAGGATATATATAAAAGTTATACATGATTTAACCCCTTTTAACTGAAAAATGTATTGCTCATGAGGAAACAAGTGTAGCTGTTGTTTGAAATACGTTAACAAATTGCACCAGTGTTGTAGATTTAATGCATAAGAGACTTTCATTATGTATTATTTTCATTTTATTTAATAATAAATGTAAAAGCTACATCATTATAAATGTGGTAAAATATTTATGTATCATAATTCACCAGTAAGGGATTAAGAACTGGTTATTAGTCAAATTATACAGAGGATAAAAGGCAACAAT